TTTTTTTTTTTAAATAAAAAAATGATCAGCCCAATAGCCTATAAATTACTATTTTAAAAAAGGATGGTGTTATTCTGATATCTAAAACTGGGACCAGTGAGGGTATTAAAAGGTAAATTTCGGTAGTTAAGGGAAAATGCACATCTGGCACTTTTTGATTACAGCAAGATTGTTACATGACACAAACCAAAAAATGTCTTCTATGTAATACTGTTTTGAAAACCTGACTTTGAAATTATCATGGTTATACAATATTCTTCCCAGTAACTAATCTTGTCATCATATAATTTTTATCCATAGAGATCCACAATCCCTCAACTTCAATTCCAAAATCCAAGAGGCTGTGAAAAACAAGTTTTTTATTATTCATTTGGCCACAAAACCTGATGTGAAAAGACATGAAGTTATTTATAGCATTTATTTATCTCAGTTGGTGTGAACATTCAGACATTTTACTACAGAAATTGTAATGTGTTTGATTACAAGGTGGTACCCCAGACCTCTCTGGGAGTGCTATGTGACATGCAGTATATATACTATATTTCTTTTCTAAAATCCAAAAATCCTAAATTCAGAATCACATTTGGCCCCAAGAATTTTTTTCCCCTAAGGATTCTGAATAAGGTACTGTGGACTGGTACACTAATTAAGACTGTCTTCTTATACAGAAAATAAATGCTGAGAATGAATGAAGATCTTCATATGCAATCAATTCAATATCTTAACACCTATCACACATTCATACAATTCTAGAAAACATAGCATTAAAAGGCCTTTTAACAAATGTCAAAAACACAAATACACCAATTATGTTATATTTCAAGTGATGGTGAAATCTATATCTATATCTACATGAATTCCTCTTAGGCTGAAATCCACTGATTAAATGACAATTAAAATATAGGCAAACACTGAATTACTAATATGTTAAGAAAAAGAAATCCACAGATAAATAACTTACTCAGTGAAATATTCTGGTTTTTAAAAACATTATTTCTGAGGGTTTAAGATTTAAAATTAGTTCATTGTAGAGTACAGTTTCTGAAAACTGGATAGATTGCATTGGACCTTTTTCCGTGAAAGGAGAGCCTCTGACAGGGACAGCTCTTAAAGATATTTGAAGGGGAAGAAAAGTTTTACAGTTTTTTCCTTCCTTCCTCCTTTAGTTGCTGCTTTTCTGGTTTTAGAATTTCAAACAAAGAAATACATATTGGCTCCATTGCTAAGAAACGCCCTCTTTCTTAGCAACTTCCTCTTCCAATTTTCTTCTTCACCATTAACATATAAAAACAACACCCACAGTCAGTCCCACCATTTTGATTAACCTAAAGCCCCAAGGTTTGGGAAAATTAATGGTTAGAATTCATAGTACCCAACTACCTCCTACCTCAGGTGCACAATCTTTGCTCATCTAGAAGTCAGTTAACAGGGATCACAAAGAAAGAAATAGTATTCAATCAGAATCAAGCTGTTGACCTTTCATCCCTTGAATCCAAAAAAATCTAAACTAATAAGTAGGAAATTTCCCCTGTCCCAAGCAAATGTGGACTTCTAGAAAAGAGCACAAGTAACTGGCTGGCACCACCCTGAACCAAGAGTCAAGTCAATAGCTGGTGAACTTTCTTCTACAGGCCACCTGGCCAGGATTCAAGTTGAGTCCTCTAAAGTTCTGACACACTTCAAAGTGACTTTTACAATTTAGAAATGGTCCTTCTCAACTCACATATGGAACAAAAGGGATGGTCTTATAATTAACCATCCAGGGATCACAACCCAGCCTGCACCATGCAAGAAATCAAATTGAGTGTCTGGAGCCAGTTCCCTCCCCTCATTGGTGAAAAAACAAACTGTCCCACTACTATCTTTTAAATAAAACATAATAAATAAGAGCCCTGGTGGTATACTGGTTAAGCGCTTGGCTGCCAATCTAAAGGTAAGAGGTTCAGAACCCAACAGCCATGCCATGGGAGAAAGATGCTTCTATGAACAACCTGGGAAACCCTATGGGGCAGTTCTATCCTGTCCTACTGGGTTGCTATGAGTCAGAATCAACTGAGGGCAATGGGTCTGGGTTTGGTTTGGTTTGGTTTGGTTTACCTTTTAAATACAGTGACTTCCTCTTGCCCAGTAATTACGAGAGCAAACACCTTAAAAGTTAGTAAGCTCTGCGCTTTACTGTGTGACCTTAAGCAAGTAACTTAACTCCTCTGACTTAGTTTCCTCTCAAGGGTTGCCATAAAAATTAAGTAGTACATTGCAGGAGCACCATAAATGTTCTCCCACTTCCTCCTAACCCTCCTAACTTCTGGGCCTAAATTCCTGTCCACAGCCCTAAGAGGATCCAAGGATTCCTTCCACTTCTCTGATTCTATGAAAAAATTGCATAAAACTTCTCCAATTCAGAAGCTCTGAGATTAAGAGTACCACGACAACCCGACCTCACCCATTATGATCTAGGAAGCACCTAGCACCTTTAACCTACTCTTTTCCTTACCCTGCAAACCATCCTGAACACGCACACACCCCCTCCTTGTTATCCCTGCCACTCCACAATTTAGCTGGCTGAGAGCGTAAAAAAGCACCCAACTCCATTGTCCAGATGACGGAAAGTGTGCTCAACCTGGAAAGAACTTGCCCAAAATCTCAAATATCTGGGATCCAACTCATGTATATCTGCCTACAAAGCCTTCGTTTTTCAAATGAGAAAAGTGAGGCCCAGAGAAGGAAGTGATTTGCCCAAGGTCACACAGCGAGCTGGTGGCAGGGCCCAGTCAAGTTCGGGCACTTTCGCAACCTCACAGAACCACGGGCCCCTCCAAGTCTCCTGGGGTGGGGGGTGGGGGTCTCCAGGTCATCCCTTCCCTGAAGGGGGAGAGAAGGTGTGGGGAAGGACGCCACCTCGCGCTGACGGGTCGTTCGGTCTCTGCCCGTCCGCGGTAGAAGACACTGCACCCACTCCCCCGGGACCCCGCGCGACGCGGGTGGGGCCGCCCGGCCGGGCCTGGCGCCTCACAGCGAGACGGCAGGACCCGCCCGAGGGAACTTGTTGCTCACCTGGCCTCGCGCGGGCGCCCTCAGCGACAGAAGGGCCGGCCGACCACCTCGTCTCCGCAAGGGGTCTGCTCCCGCGGGCCGTCTTGCGACCTGCCACACAGCCAGACCCCCCTCAACACACTACGCCCCCAGCCGCGCTCTCCCGGCCCGCGTCCGCCATTACGCGATTTCCCCGCCCTGGGACGCAGCCACACCCCTCCAACGGTCCTGATTGGCTCTCTGCCCCAACAGCCCGGGGCTTCCATGTATTCCATTGGCCTGATCGAAATGCCAGTTAAATAACTACGCAAAAGACGTATTTGAATGTACTGGCCCGGGAGCTCCACCCTGGCGACTTCCGCAAACGGAGTAAACAGCAGGGGGCAAACCAAATGAAGTGGGGGTGGAAATTAAAGCAAATCAACTGCTAAATTTAAAGTAGGAAAATTCCACTTAAGAAAGTGTAAAAATCATGCAAAATGTTTTGAAATGCGAATTCTTCTCGCTGAAGTTCAAAGAATCAGTATTTTTTGTGGAAAGAAGGGGCCAATTCCATAAACTTTCTATGGACACCCCTCAAGTTGCAGATGGTTTTGTTCCTTCCCTCTCGATCTCAGACCCTGCCGAAAGTAGGGTGGAGATATAAGAGAATGAGTCATAAGCTCCAGCCCGGCCCTGAAGATCACAGGGGCAAGATCCGGGGTCCTGGGATTGGGAGCAAGTTCTGAAAGGCCCTTGGTATTGGGTCAGGTGAGCTAGACCCTGGTTCAGCCGCTATTTCCCTGATTAAGCCTTAGTTATACCTGCCTCACATCCTGAGGTGGTTAAGGATTCATGCATGAGCTCATCATGTTGATTATAAAAAAACTGCAACTGGACAACTATGTGACATGTTCCGCAGTTAGTAAAAGATACCTCATTTTGGTTTACCAGAATAACCTGTAAGGCAGGTGTCATCTTCATTTTGCAGAAGAGAAAACCGAGTTTCAATGATGTGTGACTTGCCCAGGGGTACTCGGAATTTGAAACAGCTTTGGGGCTCAAACCTGTGTCTTCGTTTCCAGTTCTGTATTTATCCCTTCCAGACCAAGTGTCACCTGAGAAAGACTTCTCCTCCATCACCTTAACATTCCTGAGAAGGTTAACATTCTTGAGTGTTCTAGGATAGTCCCCCATATCTCTGGTCATGATAGATGTAGATTCCGGCCAACCTTCAGCTACTTGTCAATCACCAAGGTTACTGGAGGAAAAAATGACCCTTGAAGTATGCCTGAGCTGTTTATGAGATCCTAGGAATCAGGAGGTGAGTAAGGAACAACAGGGAGGTCAGCAGTCCAGGCAGAATCCCAAATGAGGACATAGAAGCTCCTAGAGGGGCACTGATGCCATTGTAGGACCTCAGCAGGGCAGCTTCCATGCCAAGACTTAAATCCAGGTCTCACCATTCTCAGAACAGGGCTCTCTTCACCGCAGGATTGTTGTTCCCAGAAGGGCTGCCTTGGCTGAAATTCTTAGCTCTTTTCCCTCTCTGGAAAGAAAGGAGGCCAAAAAGGGAGTGGGAGGGGGAGTAACCTAAAATTTCAGAAAGGCAGAGCCCGCCAAGTGGGTGTGGTATGGACAAGGGCCTCAGTGCAGGCTGAATTGGTTACCTCCTAGCTCAAATTGGGACATGTGGCTGACAACCAGTGACTATTTCAATCCTGACTATGGCCTTTGGGTGCTGGGAGGCAGCAGTGCAGAAGGTAGTGGCTTGCTTTGGGGTCAAACTGATTTGTAATTGAGTCCAATCTTTACCACTTTCTAGCTTTCTAACTCTTACCTAGAAGCCTTGGTGATGCAGTGGTTAGGCACTTTGCTGCTCATTGAAAGGTCAGCAGTTCAAACCCACCAGCTGCTTCTCCAGAGAAAGATGGGGGCAATCTGCTTCTGTAAAGATTTCAGCCTTGGAAACTCTATAGAGTTGCTATGAATTGGAATAGTCTTGATGACAATAAAACCAAAAAACAAACTCACAACCATCGAGTCGGATCCAACTCATAGCGACCCCTCCTTGAGTTTCTGAGGCAGTATCACTACAGAAGGAGATTGCCCAATCTTCTTTTCAAGGAATGGCTGGTGGGTTTGAACTGCCAGCCTTCTGGTTAGCAGTCATATGCCTTAGGCACTACGCCACCAGAGCTCCTATTGCAATAGGTTTAATTAATTAATTTTTTTTTTTGGTTAATCCTCACCTACCTCTTCTGTAAAATGGGGACAACAGGGCAATTGTGAGTATTAAATAAATTAATTATGGAATTAATGAGTTGTGTGTGTAAAGTGAGTGGTAGCTATTTATTCATTCCATAAAATATTATTAAGCACCCACCACACGCAGGGCAGCCTGCCAGTGCTGTAACTACAATGGTGAGCAAAACAGACTTGGATCCTCATGGAGCTTAGAGTCTGGTGAGGAAGAAAGACATCAAACAAATGGTTACACAAATAAAAACACAGAAACTGTGATAAGGAACAAGAAGACAAAGTTCAATGTGTTTATGAATATTCATATTCATCAGGGGATGGGTTGGGGTCAGAGGAGGTTTCCCTAAGGAGGTGATATCTGGGGCAGATTGGGTGAATAGTCCTGAACCAAGGTGCATGGAGGTGGGGAGAGGTGTTATAGGCCAAGAGAAAGGGCATCTAAGCCAATATTGTTGATGGCAGTGGGAGAGAGGGCAGAACACACAGACCTTATGGGCCACCCTGGGAGTATCGTGGTTATTGCTGGAGGAATGAGGAGGGTGTTATAGGAGAGAGTACCTGGCTTTGAAAGTAAGACTGTTCTCCAAGGGTCTCTGTACTAAAGTTTCTGGAAGACTGCAGGCTGTGAAACAGGGTTTGAATCTTGGCTCTGCCACCTCTGAGTGGCAGTTGTATTTCTGAGAAATGGAGATAATGATAATAGGACCATAAGGTAGGGTGAAGATTCAGTGCAGAAATGTGTATGAAGTTTCCTGGCCTGTGGAAGGCCCTCCATAAATGGTACTTGGTCTTCCCAGCGTGGAGAGAGGTGACTCTGAGGCAGCAGATCCAGCAGATGCATTGGGAGAGAGCTGATGCAGGCAGATAAGTCCTATGTGAGTTGTCACCTGACCCTAATTGTCATAGGAGACTTTGGAGCCAAGCAAACCTTCCTAGCAGCATGACCTAGGACAGGTGATTTAGCCTCTCTGCATGTCAGTTTTCTTATCCATAAAATGGGGATTATAATTGCTTCTATTTCTTAGAACTATAAGATAAAATAGGAGCTCTGGTAGCATAGTGCCTAAGGCACTTGACTGTTAACCAGAAGGCTGGCGGTTCAAACCCACCAGCCACTCCTTGGAAGGAAGATGGGGCAATCTACTTCTGTAGTGATACTGCCTCGGAAACCCAAGGAGGGGTCGCTATGAGTCGGGTCCGACTCGACGACACATAACAACAACAACAACAATAAGATAAAATAATTAATGTGACACGCTTACCATGGTGCACATGGTAAACACTTGTTGAATGTTAACTCTAATAATGCAATGATTATTAATAATAGTAGTTACTACTTACACTGGAAATTAAGACTCTGGCCTTTGCTTAAAGATTGTCTAACAACAGGAATCTTGGTTTATCCTTTTAGGCAACGAAGACACATAAGTTGTTTTCAGATGGAGTGATGTTACATATATAAATAGTGATATTGTTGTTGTTGTTGTTATGTGCCGTCGAGTCGGCCCTGACTCATAGCGACCCCTCCTTGGGTTTCCGAGGCAGTATCACTACGGAAGTAGGATTGCCCAACCTTCCTTCCGAGGAGTCGCTGGTGGGTTTGAACCGCCAGCCTTCTGGTTAGCAGTCAAGTGCTTTAGCTACTAATATAGATATACATATTAGTAACATATATATATGTTATAAACAGTGATATTACTGTCATTTATTGAGTATTTACTAATATGCCAAACATATGCTGAATGCTTTACATGCATTAACTCATTTAATTCTCACAACAGTCCTATAAACTCAAACCAAAACCAAACTCACTGCCGTTGAGTTGGTTCCAACTCATAGTGACCCCTCCTTGGGTTTCCGAGGCAGTATCTCTATAGAAGTAGTTGCCCAGTCTTCTTTCTGAGGAGTAGCTAGTGAGTTTGAACCGCCAGCCTTCTGGCTAGCAGTCAGACGCCTTACGCACTATGCCACCAGAGCTTCATCCCCATTTTACAAATGAGGTAGAGGAGACACAGAGAGGTTAAGTGACTTGTCCAAAGTTGCCCAGTCAGGAAGCAGCACAGCTAGGATTTAGATCCAATTATGGAACTTGAGGATTGCTGCTCCTAAGAGGCACTCCCTCCCTCTCCTATCCAAGGAATTAGAAGTGTCACCTGGAGTACTAAAATCACTCCCTACCCAAAACAAGTCCCCAGGTTCCAAAGACCAAACTCTGTTCCTTTCCTACCAAGTCTAAAAAGTAACTACAGCCTGTTCCCTGTCCCTGGAGGCTAGTGAGAGAGCAAGGGTCAAACCCTCTTCCTCTGCAAGAGGAAGCAAGAAAGGCATTTATTTAGCTCATCAGAACTAGGTCTGAATCCCAACTTTGCCACTTAATGGCTCTGTAATCTTGGCCAAGACACAAAGCCTCTCTGAGCCATGACTATGAAATAGGGATGATAACAGCTCTGCCTACAGGGCTGCTGTGAGGAACAGAAGAAATAGGGCCTGCATAAAATATAAAGTGCAGTCTGCACAAGAGTGCCTTTCAGTGTTGCTATGGGAATGGTGATCACTTCCGGAAAAGCAGCCTGAGGCACAGTAAGTATAACAAGCAAGACTGCCCATCTCTGGAAATAAGTATAACAAGCAAGACTGCCCATCTCTGGAAACAGACCTGGGTTCTAGTCCCAGCTCTGCCTTTTGTGCCCTGTGTGACCACAGGCAAGTTACATAACCTACTGAGTCTCAGTCTCCTCATCTGTGTAATGGAATGAATAATACTGATCTTGTAGAATTGAAAATACAGGAGAGGATACATAGAAAGCCATGAGCCAGTGCCTGGTACAGAGATGGCAGAGCAAAGTCTGCTAAGGGATTCCAGGGGAAGGAACAAAGCAGAGGGGCCAGAAAGAATCACCCGACACCACCCATCTGAGGGGGAGCGGGTGGAGAGCACTGTGCT